CTGCAAAAAGGTAGAACATAGGAAAAAAAATCATTTTTTACCCTAAATTCAAGTTATAGCTTGCTTTAATTCCATCTAAAAAATGAATCATAATCAAGGAAGAAAAATAAACCCAACTTGAACATACTCTGAGAATCTGATACTGTAATACATATAAAGAGATGAAGGTCCTCATTTAAACACAATGGCAGACAAAAAAGCTGGAGTCTTCTTGCTTCAAAATCCCACACTCTGCACACTGCAGTCATCCCTTCTTTTCAATATACCAAAACCTCTGCTCTACTCTTCTCCAGTAACAACAACATTAACATACAAGAAGAGTATTTTATCCAGCTATGTAGATCATTCAGCAAGACACTCTACCCCATTCAGCAAGACTTGTAATAAATTAAGTATTTAAGTAAAACACCATTTCTTTGCTTGCACTTTAGAGGGGAGAAACAGTTTTAAGTTTTCTGTTTTCTGATGGAAGCAAGGAGCTTTCCTTTCTTCTTAAAGTTTTTGGGTTGGGTTTTTAGTTTATTGTTTTTTTTCCAGAAAGCTTCCAAGACTTCTACATAAACTTATTCATTTAGGAAAAACTAACATTTTGCCGAGTTAAAATGAAATAAAATCTGAGCCAGCCTTGCTCTATGTCAGCTCAGGGAGACAATGCAAAAGGCTTCTCTTAAGACCATGTTCAACCACAGGCTAAAAACAATGCCACACCTCATCCCTAAGAACCACCAATAGAAGATACTTAAGGAATGGCAAAAGAGAAGGGACATGGTAAAACTCTTCCAAAGGTTTTCCCAGCTTTTGGAAATAGCTCAAGGACCACCTGAATTACTGTCTCTGTATGCAGTGGTGACTGAATTAATGCATTAACGATGCATTAATGACCCCAAGGAACTTCAAGTGCTTTTCACACCCATGTAAACTTTTAGCACTTGCAACAGCCTGCAGAACAACTATAAACGATATGGAAAACGACTTTATTTTTCTTGAACACACACACACACATTCAGGCTTCTCTTTTAACGCTTTCTAGCTCTTGCATCAGGAGAGACCAGGAAAAATCACTCTGCATTCACCTTTTTTGTGCCACTCATGATTTTATAGACCTCCATCACATCACCTTCAATCAAAGTCTTTTCCAAACCACAGTCCTAATTTACTTAGTTGTTCCTTGCCTGGAAACCACTTCAAATCTTTGTTGTCCTTCTCTGAATCTCTCCCAGGTCTTTTGGAAATGAGGGAGTGGGGGAAAATGGGACAAGTGTGGAGGGAGATGAAACCAGTACTGCACACTGCATTCAGGATACCAACGAACATGAATTTATACAGAAACAAAATGGTATTTACCATCTTGTTCTCTGCTCCTTTCTCTCCTCAATTTCTGTCTGTCTAGAACACATTACTGAGCATTTGGGCATTGAACAGCCATTTCCAGAAAGGTATTCATTATTTTTCAAGAATTATAATTTTATTCCTCCCTACTAGGTCAATACATACACTGGATACAAAATTATGTTGGGTTTTTAGCACTTCCTCACTTCACCTTACTTGGCAGAGCATTTAAGCTTCTATTGTTAACTGAGAAGTCAACTTAGTCTTCCTGCAACTCCTCTCAAGCAGTTCTTGCTTTTACCACCCTGAGAAGCTCAGCTCAGTCAAACTCTGCATTTCAAACTACTGGCTGGTGATGTCTCTGCTGGGAATAGTGACTGATTATTTTTGCCCGTTTCCAAATTTTTTGTTGCTTCGGCAAAGAAGTTAAATCCAACCACACCTGGATCTCTGGTACTTTGACAGAAATGTTATGAATCAGAGGACAACTCAAAAAGTTGTTTGCTTCATTCTCACTAGCTCTTGGACAAGCTGTCCCAATGTTATGCTCTGGCAATGACTTTTACCTAATTTCCACTTGGTTTTCAACTTAAAAATATATTCTATAATAATTTCAGAAGTGCTCCAAGGCTGTTTTAGTTTATCTTTTCAAGATGAAACCTGAAATCCTTTCCAAATAACTTCATTTATTCCAGAGACCTCTCCTCTTTCACCATTTCTACAGCTATGTCTTATCCCACTTGGTGCCAAATCCATCAAAACACATCCTGCTGCCCTGCAGAGCAGAACTTTTATGTCCATGTTGGCAGACCAGAAAATCTGTGTGGAAAACATCATGCCAATATCAGTGTATACAGCACTTCACAAAGGGTATCCTTAAGCCCATAGTGCCAGAATGCAGAGAGTGTCTTTACATATGCAGTTAGATTCATTTCACCCAACTCTGACATCTAAAAGCCTGATAGCCAGTTAAAGCTTATCCATTATTATCCATTAGCTTACCCTATGATCCATTTATAGTAAAAGGAGGAAGAAAAAAGCATCTCCAAAAGCAATTCACCTAAGAGATTTTGGGATGAGGAAATCCTCCCTGCTTTAGATCCTGGTAATAAAGTAAGGGGGTTTGGAAACAGTATGATCAGTGTATCTGATCACTAAGTGTGAACTTTATTGTTATGTAGATCAGCAATGTAAATCATGACATTTAAAACTGCACAGTGAAAAAATGTCATGAGTTCAAAAACCTGTGATTTGATCTCTTGCACAACTGTAGCCCCAGCAGTCCTAGTACCACTTTCTTTGTCGTCTACAATTTATTTATGACAAATACTTCAGAACTGATGTTCAGAACATAAGACACTGCTCACCAAGATCATAAGATCATCAACACATGGTTCACTGTGAGAAATCCTAACTTAGGGCTTGACCTAACAGACACCTGACCTGTGCCTTCTGAATTCAGCAGGCACAAATGAGCCTCAAGTGAAAAAGACAAGCCTTGGCTTTGGTTTTGCAAATGAACCTAAGATTTATCTCTAAAAGAGGAAGGTGTTTATTTGCTGTCTCACAATGATTAAGTAAATCCGTTTAAACAGACATTTACTAACCTTCTACCAAAAAAAAAAGCTACTCAAGGATAGCATTGAGATTTTCAGGCACTCACCTACATGAGTACCAAGAATATCATTAGAGCCACTGTGAGGGAACACACAAAAACATTTTTGTAAGGATAATGAATTCTCACAGATCTTGCATTAAGTTAATTTTTAGAGACAAAAGACATGCTCTGTTTGAAAATTTGTTTATTCTGTGGAATCTCTACCTCCTATGAAACGTCTGGCAGCAATCTGACATAAACTGCACCTTAAAATACACAGCCAGGCAGGGGGAAGTGTGGAGGGTGTCCTCACCCATTCCAAAACCCTCCTGTTGAAGAGTATAATTGTTTCAGCTGTAACTATGAAAAGATTCTGTGCACAAAAAGAACATTCATGACTCAAAACATACTAAATTACTACATCTGAACTTTGAAACAATTTGTTATATTAGAAAAACAAATGGAAACTGCCAGATAGCAAGATATTTTGTTAGGGAATGCAAGTGCAACTGAAAAAATAAAGCCTGGAATGGGAGCAGCATCCCAGCTTCACCTGAACAGAACACTCAAAAACAGACAACCATGAAAATAATGTATGATAAAAGTAACTGTGTTTTCTGCCACCTATTGGCCTTTTTAGCTAACAATTATGAAACAAAGGACTACACCGCACACAAGGTACAGCTTCTGCTGTCTCATAAGGGAATGCATAGAAGGTCTTCTCAAACTACCACTGAATAATGACATTTGAAGCAAGTTTCTTTGTGCAATTGCTTCAGTCAAATGCAGTCACTGTTGAAGAAAGCACTGGGAGGCTCTGCTGATCATAAAAACAGGTGAAAAAAGACTGAAACCTCCCCAGTTAAACTAAAAACCATAGCTCAGGATAAAAATAACCACTTAAATTCAATAGCTTACTATTATGCTTGTTTTCAGCTACTAAGAAATAATTATCAAAATATACAAGAGCAGCACATCTCTCAATAAACTGTATTAAAAAATGAAGATTTAAGTTATTGCTTACAATAAAATGCCCAAATGTGTTGAGTTGATACTAACAAACTGGTTGTCACTTCAATTCATACAGATTACAGTTAATGTCATTTGTATAGACTTCCCACCAGTTATAATTAATAGTAAAGAGGTCTTTTCTTCTTTGTCACCTCTCTATTCAGGCCTTATTTGCGTTTGTTTGTACTTGCTATCTGTTAATCTCTCGTAACAAATGACAACAATAACTGTTGCTATTATGCATGGAAATTAAACATGTAGATAACTGAAGGGAGCTATTTTTGAAAAAAGCAGTATCAGAAACTTGTAGCTCTTTATGTCTCTTGTTTTGCTTTGATAATTAAGCCATAGCCTTGATTTCTTTTAAACAAAAAACTTTTCCATGGACATGCATGTTGCAATCAAATTCAATACATGCATTATGTTCTGATTCAATCTGTTCAAGTGCATTATTGTTAACCCTTATTTGATCCATGCCTGTCATCTTCACTGACCAAACAAAACCAATCCTTCATTTCCCAGCAGCTATCACTGAGTCTGTAAATTAATTTGCAGTAGATCAAACAAAATCATAATAGAGAACCTTCAGCTTTGTTCTACTTGGTATCTGCAACACTGTGGGAAATGAAATACAATTTGACAGAGGGAAGAAAAAAAAGCAGCTAGCGTTTCCAAACATCCTGCCCACAAATGCTAAGTTCATTTTAAAATATAAAAAAGTATGCGAAAAAACCCTGAAATACATGCACAATATAAAAGAAAATCCCTGAAGAGTATTAAGTCCATGAACTGTAGCTAATAGGGAGAAATTTGCAAGTCAAAAGTAATTTTTGTTTCTTTGTAAGTCTGTTCTTGACAGAATAGAATTAGCCTCTCCCATTCTAATGATCAACAAGCATTAGAAATATTAGTCCAAAATACAGAGGCAAGTGGTTTTGCAATAGCCTTTCAAACAGAATTTCCAGGGGTCAATAACATGCATTTACTGAGCTTTATCTTAATAATTTTTACAAATTACATTTGACAATGTAGCTTGGTTGCCTGCTACAGCAGAGGACTGAAT